CGTGACGATAACGCGCCCGACGCCACCCGCATATCACACGTTATATTCTACGCCAAATTATACATTTATTGTACCCACATACGCGCCCGGCCAGCGCCACACAAACGGGGGTCGGGTGAAAGGTATCTGAGATTTTTTTTTTTTTTGTCACGATACGACTTGTTATTATTTTGTTTCCAACCCCATTCGACCCGACCTACCAACACTATACATAGCAACTAGTCGTATGTTATAATACACGCGACACCTGTTATATTATATTAACATTCACGTACTGGTATCGAAATATACTGAATTAAAAACATTTTAGAAAATCAACAAAATAAAAATAAATTATTGGTACCTACACGGCTACGCGTAATAATATTATAATATAATACCAGACGTCTAGTACAGCGATACTCAAAACTTTACATTGATGAAGTATAATGTGTAAACCATAATATTACATAATAATCAACATCATAGATCCAGTAAGAATCCGGTTCCGATTCGGGTCCACTTAATATGCTAACGCGGCTATATACGTTTATATTATGAATACATTATAAAATATTATTTATACATAAACTACTTATGGAACGTACTCCATGTACCAACCAAAAGATCTGACCATCAAAAAGTTATATCATGTTATATCATAATAGCTGTCCTGACACAGCGTTGCCCGTATATTAGTTTTTTTTTTTGACATTTTCGCAGCCCGTGTGTTGGTGTTAAATTTAATTGTATTGATAATGCTAATATTACGCTAAATTCACATTTTAACTGTGTGTCCACCTTGATGACATGGAAGAATGGTATTCCAAATGGAAATTAAAATAAATAACGAGAAATCTACCCATAAAACTTTTTCTCTTAAACAAGGCATTCCCCCTACTCGTTTTTTGTCCAATAAAATGATTCCAGTGGTTTCTAATATCAAGTACTTAGGCTTGATCCTTGATAAGCGGTTAACTTGGGCTGAGAACATAAAACAAAAACGTCTCCTATTAAGCTTGAGACGAAAATTCCTCTACTAAGCTAACATTCTAAACTCAACTTAAAAAACAAATTATTACTCTACAAAACCCTTCTGAATTCCATTTAGACCTACGGTGTTCAACTATGGGGCGCCGCAAAAAAATCCAACATTTATAAAATACTAACGTTTCAATTTATAACTCTACTTATAATTACTAATGCGCCCTTTAATGTAACAAATCATAAATTGCACTCAGATCTTGATGTACCGACCGTCACCAAAGTGGCCTCATCTTACTATAAACGCTTCCGCTGCCATCTAACAAACCATCCTAATCAACTGATTTTTGCATTTAACTCAGCTAACATCCCTGGAAATTCACCAAGAAGGCACAAAAAGTGTTGGTGTCGCAACTTGGCTCTTTAAATTAAAGCAGTAAAATATATATAACTAGGTATTATATATATATACGAACAATTTACATAATATTTAATATAGCCTAATCATGTCATTATTCGTATCTCAGTGTTACTGCTGGGTGACCTCTTCTCACGTCTCTATGTCCTTATAGTTATATATTATTAGGTATTATTTTTCTTTTTTCGCACATATGGTCATTGTAAATACCTTTACAGATTGTATATATCAAATAAATGTTATATAAAAAAAAAAAAATTGTGTGTGTTAATTGTTATAGCATTACTAGATTATTTGGACTGTATGTAAACTGCGGCAAAAAAAAAAATTAAGATTATATAATCTGCCACAAAATCAATAAGATACATCATACAAACTGCGGCAATTTAATTAGATACCTATTGTATTATTATTTATTTATTTTTTGATTATACGATTTTTTTAAATAATTTTTAATATAATAATAATATTTTTTAACTTTAAAATTGGTTTTTCTTTATTTTTACGCCTAATACTCTAAGAAATACTAATAGCTGTCATAACACGTAATACGTATTATACCCAATTAAACAATAAACGTGTATAAGTTTAGTATATAAAATAAATTGCCGCAGTTTGTATAATGTATCTTATTGGTTTTGTCGCAGATTGTATAATCTTGATTATTTTTTTGCCGCAGTTTACATATTATCGACTTTTAGAAAAAGGTACATTTTGCCGCAGTTTACCATCTCTCATTATTTGTAAGGCTGACGATCGACAGTAGATGAAGGCAGCACGTTTTCACCATTTCACATTATCTTTGGACTTTGACAGTCAGTATCTATTGTGTATTGCAATTGTAGGTCACCGATTACCTGCGACTGGTTATATTAATACCAGTTATATAATCAGCAATAACAGTCGGAAAAAAATACATATTATATAGCTATATAAAATTTATACAAACTTTTAAAAACCAGACTTTTACCCCCTTAGAGATCAAATTTAGAAAAATTTTTTCTTAGTGCACCCCTACATTGCTTAAGAAACCTCTGTACAAATTTCAAGTCTCTAGACACAGTGGATTGGTCAGGGCGATGAGTGAATTGAGAGGCGGTCTCCTATATGTATATAGATAAGATGGTGTAAACGATCATATTATTTTGCTGCGTTCAGACATATCGTCTATAATTATTACAAGCAAGTACAATAATGGCATTTTTTTTTTTTATCAGATACATATTTTTTAAATTTAGTTTTAAATGTTATTATGGTTGTACATTTAATGTATTTCATAATATTTTAAGATCATAATAATATAATACATTATTAGGAGTTTCCTGTCCTCAAAATGTATAATGTTATTAGTATGTAGAATTAACATGTATGTTTTAGATTCCGAGCGGAGCAATAAGTGTAGTTATTGATTTTTAAATGATATGTGTTTTTTATTTTTATATCAGTAAACACTTTTTCTACTAGAAAACAATGGACCTATTTGGTACTTTTATGAGGTCAAAATTGAAAATTCACAATATTCAATAAAACAATTGAGATAGAAGAGAAATACAAAAAATTAAATTGTCATTCCTAAAACTTTCTTCAATTTTTCTTAGTTTTTGTTTTATAAACGTTGATAAAGAAATGTTCATTTAGTTAAAAATGCTTATAAAATTATGAACATGTATTATATACAGATATACATTTAATAATAAATGTAAACCATGATAAAATATGAGTCTATTTCCATTTAAAAATATTCTATATTCTTTTGAATTCAAATGTTGTCACTGATCATATTAATATTATAAAAAAAAATAATTTATAATGCTACATAGTTCAATGAATATATCATAAACCTCAAATATTGATTCTACATAATTGATACAAAAGAATGACGTTTGTAACTTAAAGAGCTGCGAACAAAACTAATAAAAAACAAATCAAATGCTTATAAAACAGTCCGAAGTAGAAAGTGTTCCACTAATGATTTTTTACCAGCTAATTTAAAAATGTCTAACTTAATCATAAAAAGCAATAAAAAATTGTAAGTAATAGTGGTTTTACATTGACTATTGTTTAATATATAACGACCTTATAATAGAACTTTTCAAATTTTTTTTCATAATAAATACCCGTAAACATTTATAATAATTATTTATTAATAAAGAATTAACTAATTTAATAATTATATGTGACAATATTATACATAAGATTAACGACCATGCATATCAACAAAATATCTATTTAAAAAAAAAATTAAAAACAACCAATTGCATAAAACTTTTTTTTATTGACCATAAATCGTATAGGTCGTTACACGAGTGGAATAGAGAAGTTTGACGTCATGACCTAAAAATCGCCTAGTCTCGCCAGCATCCCATTTGGCTGACTTACCATTTTGGCACTTCAATTCACAACAGAACAATTTTACTTGGGTTATTGCTAATTTATTAAAACATATTTAAAAAAAAATGTTGACTTCAAAATATATTTTATTAATGGACATGAGTATACTTTATATGAAAATTATATAAATTGAATGAATATTATAAAAATGTATTCGTAGTCGTTTTCTAACCAATTATATAATAGTGATACCTCTTTTTCTATTAACCAATTTCAATTAAATGTACAAAAAGAAAATTTGAAATTAATTTTTACAGTTTTTACCAATACTATAATATACGAAAACATATTGAATTAGTTTTCTATTTTAAAAGAAGATGCTACTGTTTCCATTATAGTATATTTATATTACAATATTCAATGAGAATATATAAAGTCAATAGTTATAAATGCGTATTAATGAAAACTAGATCCTTAATTGAATTGTATCGTTATAATTTATAAATATTATATAACATGAATGATTAGTCAAGCTAAGGTAGTAAAATTATCAGAATTAATTCTAAGTAATTGATGAAATAATTTTAATTGATTTATTACTTAGTTGATTAAATGATTTTAAGAAATAAATTATGTATGCATATCTAGTGACCTAAAAGTCTAATATCATTCAAACTCTCAAATATCTCGGGGTGGCTGTCACACAACAATATATTTAAAGTAAGTTTTCAACATTAAAGTTGAATGATTTTAATACCAAGTAAATTACCTAAAACTAATAAGGATAATTTATATATTTTACAAAATTTATAAATTTTTTTAAATTGAATAGATAAAAGAAAAATCAAATATTTAAAAAATTTAAGTTATTGATTTATTGATTTATTGATTCACGTAAAATAGATTACACTGAATTTATAAATTGTATATAATGTATATAATTTTATATAAATTAAATATATTATTCAAATTATTATTATTATTCACTGACGCTCAGTTTATTTAAGACTTCTAATTTGCAACGCAGGTAAAACATTTATTTATAATTTAATTTAGTAATACATTAATACAAAATATTTAACTCAATAAATAAAAAATAAAATTTTCTTTAATATTAGTTTATATTTGATGATACAATTTGTATCAATTCTCTGGTCTTTGACGTACACAATATATATAAAGATTAAAATCTAATACAATCATCATTTATTTAGTGGGTAGATATACAATTTATAAACATTTTAGATTATTAAAGGATGTTATTTATAAAATAATTTATTTTTCATACCTGAATTAATTGTTTGATCTGTTGTGCTGGCTAGAGAACTTCTTAACCTCTGGTAACCGATGAATATCAGGTAAAACATCACAGGTATCCAAATTGATGGCACCATATACCATGAAGTAATTGTTAGCGATTCAACGAAGTCGGAGCCGAACAATCTCAGTTTTCGATCAACAGGAGCTAATACCCATTCTTTATACTTTGGACCTAACGATCCAACTTGCCAAAACATGGGTCGATTCCAATCTACAAGACTCTAAAACAAGAAAAATCGAATAACTGTTATTTATTTTAATATTAATAAGATAGATAATAACAAAAATAATTAAAAACATGCAATGTTTACGTTCTTTGATCACTATAAATTGTTTTCATATTAACTGTAAATTTTAGTCGGGTATAAATCTAGTTTAGTACAACCAGAAGAACTCGAAACTTTTAGTAATTTAATATGTATAAAAATGATATCACTCATATCGCTCCATTCACTTCAAAGCAAGTCAATATATTAAAATTATTTGTAATTTTAAAACAATAATTACATATTATAAGATCATTAGGAAAATTGTTGGTTTAAGTATAATGGTATAATGAAATATTTTCAAATTTTAAATGACCATAAAAAAAAAAAACAAGACTCCCTCTGTTATATAGTAGGTTTTGAGTGCAATATATCAATCATCATTGGGTAAATTACTGTAATGAGTGTATCAAGTTGTAAATAATTGCATTCAATAAATTAATTCTAATAAGAAGAGCTTTAGAGTAATAATTCACTTAATTTCTAAGACCAGCTAAGTATTCTGTATGTTTTATATTAAAATATACTAACAGTAAACGTAGGAATAAATATAATGTATGTATAAGAACCTAGAACTCCAAAATGTCGATAAATAATGCAATATTAAGAAAAAAAATATTGAGCTTTTATTAATACCAATAAAGTACTAATATGGACAATATGGTGTAAATTTTAAAACTTAAAGGTTGCAATTATTTTTTGAATTTGATGGTTTTTTCGTCATTTTTTTAATAGTTTTTTCAAACACACTCGTCAAATATATCCAAAAACTAAATTTTCAACTAGATATAATTTGCTACCAAAAAATGAGTTACAATATGTCTGATTGGGTTGAGTCTTCTGATCAAAAATGTGTTCATGGAAAGGAAAAAACAAACATCATCGTAAAATCTTCTTATCATTCGGCTTAGAATTATCTAAAATAATTAGTTATAATTGTAGAAATTTAATAAATATAGCTATGAAAACACATTTTATTAACTAAGATAATTACAGGAGTTCTAAATTAAAACTGCAAATTGTATAAAATGAAGACAATAAGTAGGTACATTAGTTATTGATATTTTTTATCAATAATTGTGTATGATCAATATTATTTTTAAAATTTTATTGCTTTTAAAAAATTAATACATTAAAAATTATAAAAATATATATTCAAGTCTCTAAAATTATTAAAAAAATAGTAAAATAATGATAAAAGTTTTCTTCTACTGCGGGAATTTTACCTCCCGCAAAGTTTCCTGAATATTATATATTTTCAGTAGTTTTTCGTATTTTTTTGAAAAAAATATTATAAAGTTTAAAAATAAACTCTTAATATTCTAATGTACCATCCGTGTTCAATTCCAAATTTAAAGAAGAGTTATATGAAACGTTTACTTCTAAAGTATCTTTTAATAAACAAGTTATTACTGATCAAATATAAAAAATAAATAGTTGAATACATAAAAAATATAAACACTTGTAAGTTGTTTTTGTTTAGAATCCAATTATTATTTAAACCAATGGAAATTATTAGGTACCTCTAGATAACTACTATTGTAGATGAAATTAAAGAAAGTACTCGAGAAAGTATTATATGTATATTGTATATTAATATATATATATAGAATTTATATTCACTAAAAATTATGATTTGGTACAAGATCATCAACAATAATACTGCAGAAGGACTATCTACTATAAATAATCATATCTATGCTGAGAAACAAAGGGATTAAATATTCGAATATTTCTGGGCTAATGCATTGATCGGCATTGTCAAAACGTATGACATCACAATTTTCTCTGATTTTTAGTCTGAATAAATACTATTAAGAACTTTATAGCAACAAGCTTAAAAGTTGAATAGGAAATGTAATTATTTAATGTAGATTGTTACTCCAATACAGAAAACATTACTCAATTTCACTTTAAATAATTATTTCTTGATTTAGAAAAATACGAAAAAATGATAGTGACAATAAATTAGAGACCCTGCAGAAAGTGAACTTATAAACCAAGTTTCTGCTTCTAGCATAATATTAAGTATTGTTTTTGATAAAATATCATAATTTTTGAAGATATACATATTAAATACATATTATCTATTATTAATTATTTAAGTTTATAAATAAACACGGCCATGTCCAAAATACTATCATAAAAAATATTTAAAAGCTGCTTTATTTTATACAAGAAAAAACGAACAACTCACACAAAATTAGTTAAAATCTATTTGTTTTTCAAAACCACACATCAATAAATTTTTAAAAGAGGTCTGAATAAAAACTTTCAAGGGTTGAATATATTGTCAGAGTTCCAAATATTTTGTTCTGAAAAACCTACATAAGTATTAGACTTCTGCGGACCTGATTTTATAACATATGTATAATCTATGGAATGTAAATCAACTTCATAGTTTTCTTGAGTACCCAGAACGGCTAAAAAAAATATACGAAATTGATGCCAAGTTTTTGCCATTAAAATATACAATACAATAACTCTAAAAATGTTAAAAGAAGTAATTTTCTCACACTTTAAAAATGGGAATAGATAGCCAGACGGGATACCGGAAGTAATACACTTGTCTCGCTCCACTCATTTCTGCATGATATGGCTATGTTGTGTAGTGATATTAAATTTGAAGAAAATAATAAATTAAAAAACGATTTTAATTATTTTTTAGTTAAAACAGGACTTATTTATATTTTTTCAACGTTTATGAACAATTATAAAATGATAATAAAGTATAATAACGTACAAGATTAAATAGCAATTGTTATATTATATTGGTAAGTTTTAAGAGAAGTAAAACAGTATAGTTATACAATTGTAAAAAAATTAAAAAGTCTAGTTTAAAAATATATTTTAGAGGTGCAAATAGTTTAAAATTTACATGAAAAAATGATCTAAATAAACTAATATATTATTTTTTCAAATTATATACCTAACTATTAATTAATTTTTGAGAAAATATAAAATTACATTTTTGAAACTATCTTTTGACGCCAAACACAATAATTCATAGAAAAAAAAAAAAAAAATAAAGCATACCTACATTATTTTTTTAACACGATTTTTATACTGAAATAAGAATCCGTTAAATTAAATTAAATGCAGATATCAAAATTATCATAATTTTTAATAAAAATGATACATAATTATAAAAATAAAAATTATAGATACTATAAGAGTTTTTTAAAACCACCGAATTTTAACTTAATATAATCAGTTCTTAATTTCTTTAGTGATAGATATATCTCATGATTATATTGTTCTGCAATGGGCGTATACTGAATTTGGCCACAGGGTTTACGGCTCATAAAATGTGCTCCCCAAAAATATAAATGTTAAAAAATAAATACTGATACTTATTACCTCTAAAATATTTATGATAACTGTTTATAATATCACTGCTTTAATTACGTAGAAAATTATGTAGGTTTTAAATTTTTTTTATGCTAAAAACTAAAAACATATTATTTAAAAAAAAAACGTCTTTATTGAAAAGAATATTATTTCATAATTTTTATTACAAAATTATGTTGTTTAATTAAGCCATGAACATAGATTAAATCTACAAATTTTATTATTATTCGTTTCTAATAAGCCTTATTTTGAGACATCATTTATATTAAGCTCTCCAAAAGTAGTGCCTTTCTTCAGCCATTAGGGTATGTAAACACAAACCTTAACCCTACATATCCCGCACATACGTCTATTTGCCACTACTAGTTACTACATAAACTGTTATACATTTTTATCAAATCACTCAATACAAGGCAAACTAATTATATATTATATCAATATAAACTCAATTTTGTGTAAAGTACCACCTTCTAATTGATTTTTGATAGGTAATCGATCATTAATCAATAATTATGTTATTTCAACAGTTTACTTATTTAATTTTCGCTAAGAAATAAAAATATACTACAATACAATTAATAATTTTTAAATACAATAATAATTATAAATACTTAATTTTATATAATTATACAACTGCTAATAGAATTTTAATCATTTACAAACAATTACAAATACTTTGAAGTAATGTTTACAAAACTAGACTTGATACTAAAATTAAATACATTTTAAACGAATATTTTATAGTACTTAGTTTAATGACACAATTTAATTATTCAATTTTCTCGTCACGAGTGGAGTTACGTGATAAAACGTATTCTTGGAAAATAAATCAAAAAACATTAAATATATTCTGAAACGAAATTATTTGGTATTAACGCCAGTATAATGTAATTTCAAAATTATATTTACCGTGTACTCTATGCTTACACGTTTAAAATATCAGCTTAATATAGTATAGAGTATAGACACACGAGTATACAATACTTAAGAAATATACCTATGTAAGTGAATAAAGCATTATTTAATAAATAATGCTTATTAATTATATAAACCAGGTAAGATACAAACGTAATAAAGCAAATAGATTTTCGATAATCAAATAAAAATCCAAATATATATTATATAAGACTCTAGCTTATATGATTCAATTATTTAAAAAGTTTTTAAATATTTTTTTTATACAAAATGATAATTAATTTAACTATTTTTTTAATGAGTATTTAATACACACACAAAATGTTAATTTTATAACTGTATAGTATAAACAAAAGCTTCATATATCCAAATAATATATAGATAGAAAAATGTTATAGTATTCTTGACTATTTTAAGGATATGAATTACAAGGATAATCAATAGTCCTCATTTTCAGGAAAAAAAAATCAAAGATATAATAAAATTATTCTCAAATAGACTACGACAAATACAAATCTGTTTTCAAAATTCTTATCGCTTTATAAGATCAATCGGAAATATGAGTAAAACATTTCTAAATTCCTATATTTCGAGTATGCTAGACAATGACAGAATCTCTACTTTCAATTCCCTTCAGATAATAACAATTTTGAGTACCTTTTCTTACTTTTAGCAACATCAAATATAAG